CGATTACTTCAGTGCGTGTGATTTTCGTGTAAATCATCTTCGGTTGTGCCCTGTTTTAAACCACTCTCTCTAGAATGAATGCATCCAAAGAAAGCAGGTGTTAGGCAGGAAATGTGCGTTATTACTTCACCTCTGATGTTAATACTTCGTTACTAGAGAGGCCATGAGAGAGCTCCTTTATCAGTAGAAGGGAAACACTACAATGGAATCCAGCCCGAACTGGGAGTCTCAGGATTTCCACCCAGGTCTAAAGAGAACAGAAGAGCCCCGGCCGGTTTGGCTCAGCGGTTAGAGCATCGGCCTGCGGTCCGGAGAGACCCGGGTTCGGTTCCCGCTAAGGGCATGTACCTCGGTTGCAGTTTGTCCCCGGCCCTGGTTGGTCGTACGGGTGGCAGCCACTCGATGTGTCCCTTTCACATCGATGTTTCTCTCTCTCTCTCTTCCTCTCTCTCCCTCCCACTCTATCTGTACAAAAAATGGAAAAATGTCCTCGGGTGAGGATGAAAAAATAAAATAAAGAGAACAGAAGAAATGCTCTTAGCACTCTGCTGAAGTGTGGATCGGAGGCTCCTGCTGGGTTGCTACCATTGTGTGGGGCTGGGTGTCAAAACTCAGCAATGTGAAAGAGGGCAGGACAGTCCCCATATTGATGGCAGAACGAGGTATGCCAACTGTCACATGGTCCAGGAGGGTTTTCACAACACAATTACCTTAAATTGCTCCTTTCCAAGGTGTTTGGTTTGTGGGTGTGTGCAAATGAGCCGATGTTTCTGCTGACTGTCTGATCAGCAATCTGCAATTAGACCCCAAGGAACAACCGGCTCACTGTGGTTAGGGGCCATCAGCCACTAAAATAATGACATTTGTCATCATTTTCATACATCATCCTGTCCTGGATCTTATCTCCAAATTCTACTCAGAACGAATATGTAAGTTTTCTAAAATAGCCAATTTTTTTTTATCCTCACCCGAGGACATTTTTTCATTTTTTGTTCAGATAGAGTGGGAGGGAGAGAGGGAGGAAGGGAGAAAGAGAGAGAAACATCGCCGTGAAAGAGACACATCGAGTGGCTGCCACCCGCACGACCAACCAGAGCCAGGAACAAACTGCAACCGAGGTATGTGTCCTTAGCGGGAGCTGAACCTGGGTCTCTCTGGACAGCAGGCTGACTCTCTAACCACTGAGCAAAACCGGCGAGGGCTAAAATAGCTAATTTTAACAGCTCTACTCTAGTTGCCATTTTGGTGAAGTGTTTTAGGATTGAATAATACCTAATAATTATTGAGTGTTTTCCTCATGCCTGGCATTATATAAAGGTCTTTACCAACAGCATAACTCACTAAGCCCACACAAGAACTCTGTGAGGCAGATACTATCCTTCTCCCCACATTACAGGTGCAGAAACTGAGTCAGTGGGAAGTTCAGTACTTCACATCTAGAAAGGAACAGAACTTGGATCCATATTTCATCCTGTTTGACTCTAATGCTATATACTGACACAGGGACTATGTGTCATTTGGCTAGCAAGATGCTCATAATACATTAAAATGATGGAATGGTACAGCCAGTGTGGCTCGGTGGATTGAGTATCGTTCCATGGACTGAGCAGTCCTGGTTCGAATTCCAGTCAGGGCACATGCCCGGGTTTCAGGCTCCATCCCCAGTAGAGGGCGTGCAGGAGGCAGCAGATTGATGTTTCTCACGTCTATGTCTATCTCTCTCTCTAAAAAATTAATTTAAAAAAATAGGTTTAAAATGATGGAATGAAGTCCAGGCAACCTAGTTTTGTATAAGGAGCTAATAAGGTATCGGGTCTAAAATAATGGAACATTTCTTTAATGCAGTGATTCTCAATTGTGGGCAACAGAGCCTGCCTCAGGGGGGCATTTGGAAATATGTGGGGTCATATTTGGTCACTGGGTTGCTGCATTGACCTGCTACTTTGGTGGTCTTTCAGGATGCTTAATGTCTGGCAGTGTGCAAAACAGTTCTGGCCAGTGGTGCCAAATGTCCGAGACTGAAGAAACACTGACAAAGGGGAACAATGGGAATCTGAAATGATTCTATAAAGTCAAGGGTGGCAAACTCAAATGCCCTCGGGTATCATCCAGGTGCTGAAGATTACATGTCCCTAAATCTTGAAAGCACCTCAAAATCACCTAGGCACCAGATTCGGTCTATAGGCCCCCAGATTGGGCTTTTTAAAAAGAGGGGGTTTTCTGATCTCAAAACATCTTTTTTCTTAATTTATTTTAGATAGAGAGGAAGGGAGAGGGAAAGAGAGACAGAAACATCAATGAGAGAGAACATTGACTGGCCACCTCCTGCATGCCCCCCACTGGGGATTTGCCCACCACCTGGGCATGTGTCCTGACAGGGAATCGAAGCAGCAACCTCTTGGTACCTGGGTCGATGCTCGACCACTGAGCCACACCGGCCGGGCTCAAAACATATTTGTAATGTATTAAAGGAAGAGAAAAAGCTGCTAATTAGTATGTTCCCATGTTAGTTTGTTTTTTGTTCCCATGTTTTAGAAAGATTTTGTATGTAGATATATACATATACAAGTATATTTATGAAAATATGGAGACAATTTCATGGAATAACAATTGAGGTGATTTTATAAAATGCTGTGCTTATTTGTATTTTTAATTCTTCTACAATAAATATCTATTCATTGTTTAATTTTTAATAAGTAAAGGTTAAGAGGAGCCTTGAAAAATTAAAACTTTGAGTGTGGTATCAGAACACAGCCCTGGTAGATATCTGGGAGAGGGAGGATGATTTCCGTGAGGAAGGACAAGTGAGACATCCAACACGAAGTAAATCAATACTAAAGCATTAGAGGGCCTTAAAAATGGAACATTGTTGATTTCGCGCACACGCTTGCCTGGCTTCGGCTGTTTTCCATGATTTTTGTGTCTTTTGTGGCACAATAAAGCTCTCCTGGGCAACTCCAGTCTTTTGCAGATGCCCCAGAAATAAGTCTGGTACTGAAATTTGCTCAAGAAGTAAGTATCCGTGCTAAAACATATCTATGCGCTTTTTTCAATCACGTCACCAAATCCTTCAAGATCATTCTTCCTCCTGAAAAGTCACTCTTGATTGATCCGGATCATTTCCGTGTCTTCTTTCCAGCATCTTACTTAGCTCTGCAGTTTTTAATTCGGCGTAGTCACTCTGAGCTTGCTTTCTGGCGTTTGCCGATCACTGGGGAATACTGGGTTTTCTGCCTGTTTGTCCACAGACTGCGGGAGGTGGGAGGTTGGTAACTTTGTGAAGTCCTCTGTAGCTACCACCTGGGGCAGTGTCCTGGCCTCCTTTCGGTCCCTTCCGACCTGCACCGCAGTGAGCTAATCGGCGGCTCTCCTGCAGCAGGAACCAGAAAGCCCTGGTGCTCACCCTCCGGTGCTTCTTGGCGCCGCAGCGGTGGGTGCGAGGACCAGCAGAGGGAGGACTCTGGCGCAGGAAGGGGCCTTCTCTCATCTAGAACATTCCCACTCCGCGCCTCGACTCCTCACCCATCTCACATGCCACATCTAAACAAAATAAACAAATCATGCCTGGATCCTGAATCCATCCTTATAAATCAAACTAAACAGGATTCTTTGGGAATGATCACGTTAGGTGTACTTTGCTCATTTAACTTGAAAAGCAAAGCCTAGATAGAGTTGGGTTCCTTTGAGAGAAGTGTCTAGAATTTATGATGCAAGAAAGAGGGCTTCAGCAATTGGGATAAATAAATCGAGTCAGTGTTGCTCCCAACTTTTGACCCCTCCGCCCCCACACACGCACAGAAACGTCATCTGGAGGACTAGCTTGTTGGTCTGTGAAGGGTGTGGGGGAGACGGTGGCATTTCTCTCTGAGACTTCCAGCTAGCCAGCACCCACAGCCTGGAGAGGTGGTGGTGGCCACTCCACACCCTGTCTCCCCATCGCTGCCTTCCCGCTCTCGAGACTCTCACTCCAAATTTTGATCCTAGAAAGCTTCAGTGTGAGGACTACAACTGAAGCAAAATGTGCAAGTCTTTCCACACTGCCCTTAGCACTTGGAAACGCCGGCTGGGAAAACCAACCTCGATGGCAGTAAGGCTGTTTAAGGTTCAGTCTGCATCAGGACAGTAGACAGTGCTAGGGCCCCGCCTCAGGGCTCTGCAAATACCACTTCAAAGCCTTTGCATTATCCTCTTTGTCTCGTAGTAAATCCATATTCAGCACATGTTGATGGAATTCATAAGCTAATTTAAAATTTTTTTTCTTTATTGATTTTAGAGAGAGAGGAAGGGAGAGGGGGAGAGAGAGATAGAAACATCAATGAGAGAGAACATCGATTGGCTGCCTCCTGAATGCCCCTTACCAGGGATTCAGCCCACAGCCTGGGCATGTGTACTGACTGGGAATTGAACTGGTGACTTGGCGCATGGGTTGACGCTCAAACACTGAGCCATACCAGCCAGGCAATAAGCTAATTTTTTAATTAAACCTATTCCTAGAGGTGTGATAGCAACCACAGTGTTGTTCCTAGAACCCAGTGAAGCCGTGTAGGGTGTGTGTGTGTGGGTGTGTGTGTGTATTTTAGGTTTGGACTTCAAAGACTCTCTCCCAGTGCATTGCTCTCGTTGGAACCCTCGGTGCTTCAGGCTAAGGTTCTCCAGGAGCAGAGAGGAATGACTGAGTGAGCAGGCATGAACTTAGAGCTCAAATTCAGGCCTGGCCACTTGCCAGTTGTGAAACCTTAAACATGTCCCTCAACTCTCCCAGCCTCACAGTGCTTGTACACAAGGAGGGCAGTGCTGTCCAAGTCACAGGAGTGTGTGAATTGGGTAGGGTGGCAGATGGGCCAGGGGCTCAACAATGGGTGCTACTGCCTATTTTGTAGACTCAAAAGCTGACCTCTGGGGAGAGGAGAGCACATGACCCCCAAGCAGCCGAGTTTGCCCGAGGAGAATTGGGTTCATGTGAGGCCAGGAGACCTGACCAGCTGCCTTGCCTCCTGCAGGTCTCCTGGATGGTTCTGCTGGCACTGCTACTTGGAAACGAGGTGCCCGAGTCTCTTCCTGCTGCACCGTGAAGAGCCCACTCACAACTCTCGGCTGCCCTGCCAGGAGCTCGCCATGCTGACAGAGTGAGCGAGGTTCCAATCAGGCTACTGGGATAGCTGGCTTGCAAGCATGCACTGCTTTCCTTGGCTTCCCGTGTCCAGAGAGCAACGGGACCTGCCCCGAGACACACAGCAATACCAGATGGCTGCCTCTGGCTCGGGCAGAGAGGGGTTTGCAGCTGCATTAGCATCTCTGCAACTTCTAACTCTGACCCCTCTCCTTTCCCAACAGAGACATGAAGCTCTGGCACGGCTTAGTGATCGCGGTCGTGTCCCTTGTCCTACAGGCCTGCCTCCTCACAGCCATCAACTACCTGCTCAGCAGGCACATGGGTAACTGACTCAGTGTTCTCTCCCTTCTGGTTACCCTCAGGGACAATTCCCAAGCCTGTAGCAAGACCAGCTCTCTTTGGAGACCTTGAATATCATTTGAAAATCTTGAGGATTCACTGGCCAGATGGCCCCTCATCCTGACTGGGTAATCCCCACTCTGAACCAACCTATTTCTGGTTGGGAATGATGGCCCAGAGTTCTTCCACTACCTGGACCTTCTGCCCAGAGATAAGCCTTGATGCTCGTGAGGGTGGCCTCATTTAACCTGGGTCTAATTAATTTTCTTCGTCACCACCAAAGGACTGAATGTGAAGAAATGGCTTTGAATTGCAACAGAAGGGAGTATGGTTAGGTTGAACTAAGAAATCACCTTAATTCTTGAACTGCTTTACAATGGAAAGTAGAGAAGCTGTGTCCTGGGAAGACATTACAATTAGGGGAAATAAAACATTTCTTTGGCTAAAACAGGAGATTGGGCAGGATAATGTTATGAAGGTTTTTCCAGTAAAGGAACTATAGACTTCTCTAGTCATTCATTCATTCAATATAATACAATAGAGAACCCAAAAAAAGTCCTGCCCTTAGGTAACTTACATTCCATGGGGTTACAGACAACAAATAAGTAAAGACGTGGGTAGATTATGGTAAGTGCTAGGGAGAAACAAAAGCGAGGCACGGATATAGGAATTGGATGGTTACCAGCATCGCTGGGATGCTGACATTTGAGAGTAAACTGGAGGGCAGGAAATGAGGGAGCAGGCTGCACCTGCCAAGGCCCGAGACAGGAGAGTGTTCAGCATGTTGCAGCCGGAGCACATGGCAGAGGCTGGGGTGGCTGGAGCCCAGGAGCAGCGTGAGAGAAGAAGGTGAAGCCAGACAGAAAGGAGGCAATGGGGAGCCCTCAGGGTTGGACGTTGGCTTTTTCCCCAAGTGAGACAAGGGCACTTAGTGGAGTGCTAAGATCCTTCTGAACGCTTTTCTCTAGTGAGAGTTGTGCTCAGAAAGGGGATGTGCCTACCCCAGGAAGCTTCCCCTGGCCCCTCATGCTCTGTTCCCTCTAGCCAAAGAGAATGAACAGTTACTAAAAAGAGCAAAGCTCCAGGCCCCACGGCCCCGACCTGCCCACCACCACTCACCTGCTGCCCAGAAGAACGAGACTCGGGGAGAGAGAAGCACCCCTGTGTCTGAGCCCCAGTACAAGAGTGAGTAGTGGGGCGGAGGGTGGAGGGCGGGTAGTGGTCATAAAGTGTATTTTGTTCTGTCTGGACACCCAGAGCAGCCCAAGGCTGTCCCTGCCAGCCCAAAGCCAGCCCAGATTCCTCACCCCCACCCCAGTGACGGCCTTGCTACCTTACCTTTTTCAGAAAGGTGTTCATCCTGCCGTGTGGGGCAGACCTCTTTGGGTTTGTGTGGGTCTAAGCTCTTTCCTGGGTTTGGTCATGTGTGAACAACAGCAGAGGGGCTTGGGGGCTGTTTCTGCTCCTGTCTCTATAATACTAAGGCATCTTTTCTTTCACCTGGCCAGTGAGTGGTGGAGCCAAGGTTTTGAGTGACTCTGCCTGCCTCCAGCCACGGCTGGTACTATGCATCATGCCATCTGGCAGTGGCATTGGCTGGTCCCAGGAGCTGACTCAGCTGTACTCCCAGAGGCTCCTTCTCTACTGCCTTAGATCCTCATGTGTATCTGGGTGTTTTAATAACTATGAGACTTGGTGATAATTCAAATGTATGTCTGCCTCTGGCAAGTAGATCAACAGGCTCAACACCTTCTTGTTTTCCACCTCAGGGCTTGGGAGACCCACCAGGTCACTGTTGACACAGTGGAAAGTGTTGCTTCTTGCAGTGAGAAAATCCCCCCTGGCGGTGCACCCCCCAGAGATCATACTCTTTCCGTTGGTTTATCTCTTGATTGATTTGGCTCCATCCTTCTAACTTTGATCTTTTGAGTTGGAGAGATCTGGTTGTCAGGCTTCCTAGCACTGCGATAAGGCCTCAGAGCACATGGGAACCAGAAGAGGCCACTCACATGAACTCAGTGTTTTCAGCAGAATATGAGAGGACTATCCTCATCATGACCCCTGACCCCAAAGCTGCACCAGAGCTTGGCCAGTGTCCGCGGCTCTTTAGCTGTCAGAGAGCTCAAAGGTCATCGTCCAGCACTCTTTTTGGATTGACATTATATTATAGGAGACAAAACCAGGGCACAAAAAGGGATGTAATCTGCCTAGAGTTAGTGACAAGTTACATTAGAACCTGTGCCCATGACTTGGGAGGCCAGAGCTGTTTGCTTTGGGCCCCACTGCCTAGCAAATCCCTGCTATTCCACCCGAGCACAAGCCTAGTTAGTTTCAGGTGGAGCTGGACAAAGCAGCAGTGCCTGGATTCTTGGTCATGTTCCTGCCTATTTTTGGAGGCTCTCTCTCCCACCTCCCCCTCTCTTCTATTCCTTCTTTCCCTTCTGGGAGCTCTGTATCTCGCTTCCCCCTCCTCTTTGCATTGCTGGCTCTGCCTCTGTCTTCGTCTCATCCTCCCTTCCGTTGTCTCTATCCTCTCCTAAGACCCTCCAGCTTTCTTTAGAACAGTTTCTATTTTCTCCCTAGGTGACAGCGACACATCCTCAGAGAGCTCCTACACCTCAAACAGAGCCTGCAGCTCGCCTCCCACCTGCCAGGTAATGGACACTCCTAATGACCCCTTATGCAGCTACAGAGATGGAAGCAAGGAAGGAGCTTTTTGAGTCACTACAGCATCCTTAGGTGAGGGTGATCGGGCATTCATTCACAGCCCACAGATCACCCAAACAAAGTGGGTCTAAGTGGCTGTGAAAACGGAAGTGCGATGGGAAGCCTCCTTCCCCCCATATCCTAGTCCTCGGGCCACTGCTCTGAGTTCAGACCTCATTTGAATTGATTCTCTACATCTTTCTTCCTTAAACCCATCCACGCCCTGCAGACAGGAGGAACAAAGTCATTGGCAATCTTCCTCACTGCCCTGGCCCTGCTCTCAGACACAGCTACCTGGAACCCAGACCCCCACTCCTCCAGCCTAGGGGCAGGCCTCTCTGAGTGACAGTTTAGTCCTGGGGCCCTGCCTTCTCCAAATAGGGTAGGAATCTTGACCTACACTTCTCTGCTTTCTCCCCAAGGCCACCAAGGATGTAAATTATACACAGGTGGTCTTTTCAGACACCGGAGGACTAGAAACGGAATCTGCCCTGGACTATGAGAACGTAAAGGAAGAGACAGATTATGTCAATGTCAATCCAAAAAGCCACAAGCACAATTTCTGGACTTTTGTGAACCCTGCTCTCTCTGAGCCAGTGGAGTACTCTCAAGTGGCCATGTGAATCCTAGTTTGTATGTTTGGTTTTTTTTAATGGGGCAAAGTTCTCTACAAATTCTTGTACTTATTTTGCAGGGGAATTACTTTCTGTTTTTTAACAAGACATAGGGCGGGGGGAGGGAGGGTGAATAGGCTTTATTTCAGCAAGAAAGTTTCAACTTGGAAGACCTTCCAGGCCAAGTATAAAAACATCGGAGCTATCAGTAAAGAAAGTGATGAAGTCTCCACAGAAAAAATTTTTTTAAGATTTTTATCAGCTATAGTAGGATCCTGTTTGGCAGTCTTACAGTTAAATTACCCTTTGAGCTATTTAATTATTGGCAATAAACAACTTCCTTAAAAGTTTTAAATAGAATGGCCATCACCGGCATGTGTCCCTCTTCCAGAGCTGTCTGCTGAGCAATCCTGCCTCGCCCTCAGAACTTTCCGTAGTCAACACAGAGAGCCCACTGGCACCCAGCCTGTGAATTCACTGCTTCTTAGGAATGAGAGATGACAAAGAGCCTGGTAAATGCCAGCCAGCCTCCCAATCTGTTATTACAAGAAAGATCTTTCCAAATTTACTCTAATAAAATTCTATAGCCATTCCTGGTTTGCTGTTTTTTGTTTTTGTTTTTTTTTTTCTCATCGATTAGGAGTAAAAGGACACTTTCCTAACTTGATGAAGAATAGCTTATCTGAAATGAGCAGGTGTGTGATACTTAACGAGAAGGTCCTAGTCATAGTCCTGTTAGATCATGAACAAAGTAAGAATGTCCACAAACTTGCTATTTTCTTCATTATCTAATCTTGCTCGTGAAGGTCTAAGCAGTTCAATTAAACACTTTACAAAAATAAGGGCTATAACTATTGGAAAGGAGGAGGACATTAGTCATTGTTTGCAGATATCCTAGTCTTAGGAAACCTGAGAGAATTAACGTAAAATGTTTTAAAATCGATTACATGCAGCAAGCAGTGACTACAGAAATATACAATATACTTTCTCCAACAGCTAAATGAGACAGAAAATGAAAAAAAAAAAAATGTTCGCTATAGCCAAACATCTCCAAAAGTAGAAACCCTGGGAACACTCAGCCAAATTCAAACCCCAGAAGAGTGGCCTTCAGATCTTAGAGACGATTTATGAACTTGCTCCCCCTCCTGGCTGTAAATGACTCTGCAGCCCTGGTACTGGGAGCAGTGGGTGGCTTTCATCTTCCCAGGCCCCTCTTCCCGCAAGAAGATCTGCTCTGGCTTTGTTTCCGGGGCTGGAAATTTTTGCTGATCTACATGTCCCTTTACCTTTAGCCTGCCATTGCTGTTCTCCTGCTCAATTTGAGTGTTTGTGCCCCACCCCCCAATTCGTATGTTGAAATCCTAACCTCCAAGGTGACAGTCAGTATTAGGAGGTGGGGCCTTTGGGAGGTGGTTAGGTCATGAGAGTGGTACCCAAGTGAATGAGACTGGTGCCCTTATAAAAGGGACCCCACTGAGCCCCCGAGCCCCTTCCGGCTTGTGAGGATACCACAAGCAGTCTACAGCCTAGAGGAGGGCCCTCGCCGACCATGCTGACACCCCGATATTGGACTTCCAGCCTCCAAAACCGTGCAAAACAAATCTCTGCTGTGTATAAGCCACCCAATCAGTGGTCTTTTGTTATGGCAGCCAGAATGGACTAAGTTATCTCCTTAGAAAGCTTTTCTTGTGGATAAAGAGATTCTATTGATCAGAGAGGCAGAATGAGGAATAAACAATGACAACAATACTGTCTCAGCATCCAGAAGCGAAACTCTACTTCTTATTGATCTCTTTCGAAAAGAGACAAACAAGCAGAGGACTGAAGAGGTTCAGACATGTTACGGTGCACTCTAGAGACCGCACAGGGACACTGCCGAGGCAGTCCCCGCACCAGGAGAGGGGACCACCGCCGCCCTGGGGGTGGGGAGGAGCATCCATAAAAAGAAGATTTGAGCAGCTGGGTGGGTGGGGTCAAAGAACGCTGACCTAGTTGTGGAGGCAGGCAAGGACATGAGCAAAATGACATGTGACAGAAGGGAATTAACACAGAGCAAGGAAACCCAAACCTATCAATGTTAAGCAAACTGGATCTAAGAGTGTGAGGATTAGCTGGACCTTATCAGAGAAAACAGCCCAGAGAGAGGTGTTTCTGACCTCAGTTTAGAGAGAAGGGTGGAAATCTGTTGAGAGAAGAGGCAGAAGAAAAGTGAGCAGGCCTAACTGGACGCAGGCTCTCTGAACTGCATGGGAAAATGTCCGTGCCTGGGCTCAGACAGCGGAGAGACTCTGGGTCAGGGGGTTGTTGTCAAAGAGAACAGAGACCTGAATGTCACTGACCATCTCATTAAGGTCTCTAATGAACTTGACTATGATTGGCTTCAAAGGTATGACATTTTATAGCAAATAAATATATCACAGGGGTTAACATTAGCACCCACCCCGATTGCCTATAAGGGGAAGGCATTCTTGGAGAGTGCTGTTTAAGAACTGAGTTGAAAGTGTGACTCCAGCCCAGCCGGTGCGGCTCAATGGTTGAGCGTCAACCCATGTACCAAGAGGTCACCAGTTCGATTCCTAGGCAGGATATATGCCCAGGTTGTGGGCCAAATCCCCAGTGGGGACATGCAGATAACCAATCGATGTTCTCTCTCATCAATGTTTCTATCTCTCTCTCCTTCTTCCTTCCTTTCTCTCTAAAATCAATAAAAAATAATTTAAAAAAGAAAATGTGACTCCAAGTGACTTACAGAGGTTTGATTGACTGTCGATGAGACAGAGGACTTCTCAGATGCCCTGGCAAGTAAAGAGTGTGGTTTCATGTCCTAAGGAGTTCGGGCCACTAAGCTGATGATGGAAGCCAGCAAACAATTTGAACTGCTCCTCAAAGTCATTGCTAGCCATGTTGCCAGGAATAAAATGACCTTTTGCTTGTGACACTTCTGTGAGTTTAGAAGGTTAGCTGCCTTAATCTGTGTGAATAGTCACCTGTATGAGTAACCACCCTGCAAGGAGCACAGTTTCTAGTACAGTCAAGTCCCTTTCTCCCGTGTTGTATGTCATCAGAACCTCTAGGGAACAATCCTGCTGCCCCACTCTGGGTTCCTCTGCTGGTGAGAACTGGATGAAAACCTCTCCAAACTATCTTATAACAAGATACAGAGAAACGGATTTGCTGCTGGCAACCAGCCGATGGTTGATTATGTGATAAGAACTGTGAATATACAGTAGACCAGAATAAATGTGACCTGTCTTCAGTGAATTCTTGTTCTAAAGGAGCAAGCACCCAAATGCCCACCATAGAATTTCAGCAGAATTCCACTGTCTTACTGGCCAATGAGACCCACTAGAGTAAAGAGGTATTTTATGCCCAACATCGGTGGGTTTTTTGTTCCTGGGATCAGGACAGATTTCTGGGTCCAGGGGGGCTCTCGAGAAGTCTTCTAAACCAAGCCCTAGCCTCTAAACTAAACACGTTATAACAACTCCATCTTATCTGGGGTTTTTGTTTAGTGGTCCCACCAGCTCCCTCAAACACTCACTCTTTCAGACAGGAATTTCCACACTCAGTCTTTCACCTCCTGCTCTTTGCCGTTCCCTGCCAGATACATCCTCTGTGAGCTTAGCGAGAAAGAAACATATATGCAGGAGAACTGGTTCAAATGAGAGACCACAACCCGAACTGTAGGGAAAGCTGGCATGGCCTTAGAGCTGGGAGGCTGACGACTTTCCCAGCCTGCCTCATGGTCATTACTGCCTCAAACCCACTTTCAGCTCCACAGTGCCACTGTGCGGCTCCAAGGAAAATTGCAGAATACTCTTATTTTCTTCCTGAACTGTGTTTCTTTCTTCTGAAGGTGGCTCCCCACCCCTCCACCTTCCCTTGCCCCTGCCCTGCTCAAGGAGATCAAATTTTTACTTTAGTTTGCCTATACCATTATCACTGTTCCTAGGAAACAAAGATGCCTAGAAATTTCCTGGTTGGTAAGGGATTTTATTGTTGAATTTCAACCTCATCTCTGGGTTCCTGACCCAGGAGCGAGCTGCTGCAGCCTGGGCTGTCTATAGCCGCTTAAAAGACCTATTTATATACAAAGCACAGACAGAGTCCTTTGGAAAATTACTGGCCTGTACCAAACTATATAAAAAGCCATTCTGAAACATTCCCACAGTCAACCAATTATCCTCCTCCTGCCATCTTCTGCCCTGCCTGCCCCCTCACACCCTGCTCCCACACGAGTTCTAAGGGACTGCGGTACTGTATTTCACAGCGAGTTAGACTCCTGGGGTGAGCTGTCAAAAATGAGTTTGAGCCCTGGCTAGTTTGGCTCAGCAATTAGAGCATTGGCCCATGGACCAAAGGGTCGCAGGTTTGATTCCCAGTCAAGGGCACATACTTGGGTTGCAGGTTCGATCCCCGGCCCTGGTCAGGGTCATACAGGAGGCAGCCAATTGATGTGTCTCTCTCTTACATTGATGTTTCTCTGTCTCTCCCGCTCCTTCCCTTCCACTCTATCTAAAAATCAATGGAAAAATATCCTCGGGTTAAGATTAACAACAACAACAACAAACTGAGTTTGATCTAGCCCTGGCTCAGTTTGTTGGAGCATCATCCCCTACACCAAAAGGTTGTGGGTTCAATTCCCAGTCTCAGCACATGCCTAGGTTGCAGGTTTGATCTGCGGTAAGGGCATGTACGGGAAGCAACCGATCAATGTTTCTCTCACATCGATGTTTCTCTCTCTCTCTCTCCCCCCCCCTTCCTCTATCTCTAAAACTCAATTTTTTAAAAATGAGATAGATCCAGAATGCACAGAACCTCCTTGCTTCCCACAGAGGCCAACCTTCCTGAACCCTATCCAAGGCCCTGTGCTGTCCCAGAATATCTGTGAGAACTTTCTACACACTGAAAAAGCTGTCATTCATAGATGCAGACAAGATCCTTCAGGAACCTCCTGGAATAGGCTCTTGAGGCCCCAACCCAGTGTCCAGTTGCCCCTCACTGCCCTCATCATTGGACAGCACCAGCTTTCTAAAAAAGATCAAACACAGCCTTTCCATGGAAGGAAGAGTGAGGGCCCCCAAATCACCATCACAAGTAAACCCCCATGTGCAATACCAACCAAAAACATAATAGTGGTATGATTTGCTATAGAAAGCAAGAGTAGACATTGAAGGTACTCTGGCCAGCCTTGATTCCTAGCCTCCTCTCTTCCCTTCTGAAATGTAGAGTCTCCTGGGCCCAGTGCCCTAGAAATTATCCACCAGATGCAACCTGTAGCCAGGCTTTCATTATCTTCTCTAATATCAGTAGAGTGTTCTATTGTCTACAGTCTTCCAAATCCCTCCAACAAGGTGGCATTGTTATTTCTTTGTAAAAAATAAAAATAAAAAAACTCTTGCTCAGAGAGCTTGAATAACTTGCCCAAGTTCATACAGGTAGAAAGGGGCGAGATCAGGACTCAAACCCACGTGTTTGGGCTACAAGACTGTTTTCCCTTCTATTTCCTGTTCATTGTGATGAGCAGAGATTTACTTAGTACTTACTATGACCACTAGGGTCAGGTACTTGACCACTAAGGTCAGTGGGGCAAGAAGAGGAGCAACTTCAACAGCTCAGACTGTCCTGGGAGGCTCCTCAGCCCACATCCACTGAGGCAGTCGGGCACAGAAGAAGTGGTTGGGTGTCAGGGACTCACATGCGCAATGACGAGACTGTGGGTCTTCCCTGAGCCTTTGTCCCACTAGGCCCTGTGTCCTGCCCTCCAGTTCTCTAGCACTGAAGGACTGGGATACTTTGCTCGCTCACAGCACTCAGCTTAGTTCTTTTCTTTAAAAGAAACCTAAGGATGCTTCTCAAAGCTGAGTGGTCTCTTAAAAGTGTATCCCCAAAGCCACAGTTATTCCTCAAAGCCTCCCTAGGCGATGAGGGCTGATTGAACCTATTTCCTAGAGCTACTCTCAGGAGCTTCTAATTAGATTAGCAATCTCTTACATAGTGTAGAGCTCGTGGGTTTACAAACCACCTGTACACCCACAGTCCTACTTGACCCTCACAACTGAGAGAGCAAGCATTTCACCTGTGTTGGTCATCAGTGGCGGCATGTGATGAACTCAGAACCCGGTGCACCTGACTTTAGCTGATGCCTTCCACCATCAAGGCCATCTCTGAGATTAGACTCAGGATTAGGGAGGAAAGCTACCCCATGATATAAACCCCACTGAGATAACTCAGGGCAAAGCCCCAGATTCTACCTGCCCTGCTGTCTCTCCCGGCATCTGCATCACAGAATCAAGGGCAAAAATGGATAGTATGGCATGGAAGGACCCACAGACACCATAATCGAGTCAAAGAGTATACATGTCATTGTCATGAAAATCCAACAATTCTTCTAGAGTCTGTTGGTTAGAGTGCCCTTTGTGTTTCTCTTTGGGAATGCCATTTCCAGTCTTGCAAAGTCACGAAAGGTCAGAGCTGAGAAAGACTGTAGAGTACATCGCTGCTCTACAGGGGAGGCGACGGAGGCCCGAGAGGAAGGTGACTACCCGAGGTCATATGGTTACCTGAAGGCAGAGATGAGTTTTAAATCCTGGGCTCCTGACTTCAGCATAGCATGTATACAATTCATGAGGAAGCTCTGAAGAGCCTCAAGTAAATCCAGAACCATGATCCCACACTTTCTCAAAGGAGTCCCCTCTGTGCGGCCTCAGAGGAAGGAGCTGTCTGGACGCCTTGGAAAGAGGAGGGAGAGCAACCCCCACTGCATCTGAGACTTCCTCCATTCTTAATTTTCTTGTGACCATTTTCATCCCCTCGTCCCCTCCCCTTCTTCTCACACTCACTCTCAGTGGGTAATACCACTGAAAACATACACTGTGCCCCACCCTATAAAAGGGGGTGCTGTGGGGAGAAGAGAAATTTGAATTTGCAGAGTTAATGCTAGTTCCTGGTGCTGTACTAAATACTATATCACCCTCCAGTGGACATGTGGGCATAGCAGGCGAAGTGCCCAGACCCATTCACTTTTCTTCGTTAAACAATCCTCCCTCTACCAAAAATAAAGTAATTTTAAAATTCATGATCCAAATAGGGTCCTCCTCACAGTTTTTCACTTCTCCCCTCTCCTGGTTGGGCTGGGTGTGCTAGTCAGGTTGGTTTGGGGACAAGCAGCCAAGGTAGGAGACCAGCCTGAGTTCCAGTCACCTGTGGAGCCCCAGACAGGGCCCTCCTAGAGCTGCCCCAGGTTGTGTGCTCAGACACCCTGCAAATATGGCAGGATCAGGGAGCAAACTGTTTGATTATCCCTGTCTCCTAGCATGTGAGATTGGGAGCAAATGAGGGCAGGTCAGACACCTCGGGTAGCCATTCTGGCCTTTTCACACAGCCTCAAACTGGGCTCCCCTGACTTCAACCCTGACCCTCCTAGCATGTACCCAGTGCTGAAATGAGCAGAGACCCTCCTGTAGCCCCACGGGCAGTGCCAGACTCCAGGGAGTGTTCTCTAAAAGATGCCGATCTCAGTGATGCCTTCCCCATCCACCTGCTCTGAGTCCTTCACTGACTCTTCAGGCCCGGGCCTCCCGCTGAGGCTGGGGCTGAGGGTGGGCGGGCAGCTGGAGCGGGTCAGCAGCAACGTGGTGCGGCGGCTGGAGAAGCTACCATTGGAGAGCTGTCTGCGCATCCGGGGCTGAGGACCCCCGCAGCAGGCCAGATGGCGCAAGGTGTGCGGCCACAAGTGTCTGTTGAAGCCCATGTAGATCCAGGGGTTGCAGCAGCTGCTGAGGTTGCCCAAAAGCATGGAAATGGTGAAAAACACATTGGTTGAATCTGCCAAGAGAGAAACACCAGAAGCCTTAGAATGGCAGCTGGAAGGGGTCTGAGAGAGAAGAGAAAACTGAGCACTGGAAAGAAGGGATTCGCCTGGGTTCTTTAACTAGGGAGGAGCACAGCTAAAACTTGAACCTGGGACTCCTGACTCCAGAGTCTTACCTTACTAACTTATTTTTTAACTACAGAGTTTGCTCCAAGTTAACTGTAGGGGTGGACAGGACCAGCCCAAATAGGAGATATTGCCTTTGTTCCAAACCTAGACCTTGAATTTGCTAATGGATGTAGACTAGGATAAGGCAACTTCTATAAAACATGCAGGGAAAATAAGCATGATTCTAGGCCAAGTTTGGGTACTCCTTATGCCCATTTATGTCATAGATATGGGTGCACACTGGTTTCTGGGTTCTGTCCTCCTTGATCCCTCAGGGGCAGTCCCACTCATTCTGTCACAGGCCCCTGCTGTGTCCTGGCAGAAACTCAGCTGACAGTCAGGGGCAGGGGCAAGGGGACAGGCAGGCTCTGACAAAGACTCAGGGACAGGAAGCCACAAAGCCAGTATGCTGTGGAGGGGAACTGGGTGTCCTGGAAAGTAAGTTTAAAGAAATGGATCTTGTGACCTTTGTTCATGCATACATGCATATAAGTTCTGTGGTTTATCTCTCCCCCACCACCCCCTGTTCTGGGGATTGTCAGTCTGTACCCCACTTCCACATCTTTGGGACTACCCCATTCCTCAGACTGTTATGTTCATTATATTCCACAAGTAAGTGAGATCATATGATACTTGTCTTTCTCTGTTTGGCTTGTTTCACTTAGGATAATACTTTCCAGGTCCCTCCATGTCATCTCAAAGGATAAGAGATCTTTCTTTCCTACAGCTGCATAGTACTCCATTGTGTATATGTACCACAGCAGCAAAGCTGGGGATGGGGCGGGGGGAGGAATCAGTGGGGGGAAAGGAGAAACATCTGTAACAAAAATAAATTAATTAACTTAAAAAACAAAGTATAGAAAGAAAAATAAAAAAAAGAAATGGATCTCAGCCCAACTAGAAGAGCCCCAAGGGGCTTCCATTTTTCTGAGGGAGCACATTGTGTATAAGATAGCACTCTGCTCCTGCACTCCTTGCTCAGAGAAGCACATGGTAAGCAGTAAATCACTGCACAGGGGACTGAGGGACAAGCTGACCATGGTGGAGGACACAGCCGCCAACAGGAAAGGGCGTGCTAGGAAGCACTGTGGCCCTGTCCTGATCCTCCTCTGCTCCCTGCCTGCTTCCTCACTTGCCCCAGCCCCTCACCCCGACCACACACTTGCCTTCATCAGGGGCATTCTTGTCCCACACAGTCCACATCTGAACACTGAAAAACGGCGCCCAGCAGGCGATGTAGGCCAGCACAATGATGAAGGTCATCTTCACGGTTCGGATCTTGGCCCGAGAGATAGTGCTGATGCTGCTGACCCGAGATGGTAGTCCCCTCACGGCTGCAGCTGGGGCGGAAGGCGAGGCCCTGTCCCAAGTCTTCCAGCCCCCTCCTTCTACCCTCCAGGTCTGTGTCTTGACTTTGAGGTTCTTACAGATCTCGTAGCAGATGAGGCTGTAGCAGGCTGTGAGCATAGCCACAGGTAGGATGAAGATGGCCAAGGCAGTCCAGGTGATGTAGGCCCGTGGCCCCCAAGGGAAGCCAAAGTCTGCCCAGCAGTCCAACACCCCCGAACCCTGAATCACTTCCCTCAAAGAAAAAATGAAGACTTGAGGGAGGCTGAGGATGGCAGCCAACAGCCAGGGGGCAGCGATGAGTGGATAGGTAGACTGGCTGGGCTGCTGGAGGCTGCGCAGGGGGTGACACACGGCCAGGTAGCGGTCCAGCGTCATGGCCAACAGCATGTAGGTGGAAGCGAACATGCTGACTGCCTGCAGGTATTTGACAGCCCGGCAGAGGAGGTCAGGGCCCTGGAAGCGGTAGGTGATGTCCCATAGCAGCTGGGGCAGCACCTGGAAGAGTGCCACGCCCAGGTCTGTCAGGGCCAGGTGCAGCACAAACAGGTGCATGCGGGCACGCTTGGGGCCCTGCTGGCCCAGTGTCAGCAGCACAGTCAGATTGCCCCCCGTCGTCAGCACCAAGACAATGGCCAGGACTCCGATCTCCACCTTGGCCAGCTCCTCATCCCTTCCCAGCCAGGGTGTGGTGGCGTTGGGGGCAGAGACGGTGCTCCAGGGAATGGGGTTGGCAGCCCAATGAAGTCCAGAATCCATGGTGGAGGATTGCTGGGAGGGAAGTGAGGAAGGAGAGGGATGTGGGGAGAGTGCGGTGCAAGAAGTTTGGGGATGAACTGGAGTGGGAGGGCAAGGTTCAACAGAGAGAAAGGAGAAGGGCCGGTAACAGGGAAAAGGCTGCCGGTAGGTGAAAATAGTTAAGAGGATAGGGGTAGAGAGAAGGAAGGGAAATAAGGTAGAAGGTGCTGATTCCAGACAGAAGGGGGAACCTAGGAGCAAAGAGACGGAGTCAGGGAGACACCTCAGTAAGGTAAGAATGGATGAGGCTGTGCAGGGTGAGGCTTCTGGAAGGGAAAGAAGGCTTGGGGAGCTGTACCAATCCCAAACCCACCCCAAATCCACTTTCTCCCAACTTTCCTGGTAGCAGAAAGCAGATGTCCCTACGCCTGCTTGGAGGCACGCTCCCAACCACCTGCGTCGCCCTGCCGGCGGGGCCCCAGCGGCAGCAGGAGCTCCGCTGCTGGCCGGCAGGTTTTATGGGCTGGCAGCCCAGTCCAGCGCCAGCGCGGGTTGGCTCCTGCAGAGGAGGGCGGGGTGAGACTCCGGCCCCGAGCTGGGGGCAGAGAGAGGGGTCGTGGGGGGGAGGGTTCAGGGAGAGGGACAGAGGGGCGGGGGACCAGGGACCGTGAAGGAGACAAGCAGACAACAAAAGCGGAGCTCACCAGCCACGGGCTTGCAAGCGGACAAACTCATCCACGCTGTACCCCGGAGCCGCCGGGCTGTCTCCCAAGACAGGTGCGCACCTGGAGGTGGGGTGGCCGTCACCCACCCCCCGTGGGACCCCGAGGATGACAGCGCTGTTGGGCGTGCCGCCTTCCCAGGGCTCCCCTAAGCCCGCCAAGGGTTCGAAGTCTGCCAGGGTGGCAGGCTGGCGAGGCAGTGCCGCACACGGAGCCCCGACCCTGGCTGGGGAGGACCACAGACCCTAGTGGGAGACTTGGAGCCACGCAGGGAGGAAGAAAAGGCGAGGACGTGTGCAGAGAGAGGTGGTTGTGAGAGCAGAGAGCTGAGTGGAAGCAGCTAGACTTGGGGCCCCCGTGGCTTGATGGGAGGGGCCGACACGGAAATTGGGTGCCTGCATCTTCAAGGGAAGGCTTAACCCACGGCCTCCCAGATTCTTCAATGGCAATATCCGAAGTGCAGTTAAGCACCCTGTGAGGAGGGAAATTGAGGCCCTGAGCTCTATGACTCTCCCCAGAAGATCGCAACCAGAAAGCAGTGGACCCAGGAGGAGGCCCAGTGCGGTGTGCTTTTCTGAGCCAGACTAACTGACATCCAGGATGCAGAGGCTCGGGTGCTGGGGTAAAGGTAGACCACCCAGAGGAACACTTCAGCTTGGTAGAGAGGGTAGTGTGAGGTACAATGTGTAGTGTGCAGCGCTAGTTGTGGAATTCACTTTATTTTTAGTTCACACACACACACACACACACGGTGGATTATTGGGACTCTCCCCAGAGCAGATTAGAAGTTCATTAAAAGTGACAGCAGCATGGATCACAACTCTCAGAAGAGGCAGGGTCCATCACTGTACTGAGGTCCTCTTGTCCTGCCTTTTAATCAAACCGGCCCACCGTTAGTGTCACTCACCCACCCACACAGCCAGTTGGCATCACTTCTTCAAAGAGTCTACCTCCTAAACACCTACAAGTTCATTTCCACTTCATGCCATTGCCACAGTTCAAACACTCACCATTTCTTATCTGAAGTACTGTAGCATCCTTCTTTGATGCTCTGCAGCCCAGTTTAACCTTCTAGGATTTTGCTCTTTACGTATTCTTATTTTAGGTCTCTCTACTAGTTCATTCCCATCTTCAGGCAATTAAAATCTAGTGTTGTCCATTAAAAAAAAATTATAGGCCTCCCTGGACACTGTAACTCCCCCTCCAGCAATTACATCTCTTCCCTGTCACAGCAAAACTTCTCAAAAGGGCTATCACACTTGTCTCCATTTTATAGCTCTCAGTCATTTATTTCCTGATGTATTCTTTTTTTTTTTTTTTCCTAATCCTCACTGGGGACATTTTTCCATTTACCTTCAGATAGAGTGGGAGGAAGGGAGGGAGGAAGAAGGAGAGGAACATCAATGTGAAAGAGACACATCGATTGGGGACGAACCGCAACCGAGGTACATGCCCTTGACTGGAATCAAGCCCGAGATTCTTTGGTCTGTGGGCCATCACTCTAACTGCTGAGCCAAACCAACGAGGGCTCATTTTTAATTATATACATTTAAACATATATTTTAAAAATATTACATATTATGCAAATGACATATTCTCTATATATCATTCTGGAACTTGATTTTTAAGAAACAATTTATTGGGATAACATTGGTTAATAGCATTATATAAATTTTAGGTGTACATCTTTAAAATATGACATCTGGCCCTGGCCGGTTTGGCTCAGCGGTTAGAGCATCGGCCTGCGGTCCGGAGGAGAGACCCAGGTTCGATTCCTGCTAAGGGCATATACCTCGGTTGCAGTTTGTCCCCGGCCCTGGTTGGTCGTGTGGGTGGCAGCCACTCGATGTGTCCCTTTCACATCGATGTTTCTCTCTCTCTCTCTCTTCCTCTCTCCCCCTCCCACTCTGTACAAAAAATGGAAAAATGTCCTCAGGTGAGGATGAAAAAAATAATAAAATAAAATAAAATACGACATCTGTATGCTCCATTGTGTGCTGACCACCCAAAATCTAGTCTCCTTTTGTTACCAGGTATTTGACCACATTTACCTTCTTTGTTTTCCCTCTAACCCCCTTCCGCCTGGTAACCACCATTCTGTTGAGTGTATCTGTGATTTGGGTTTTTGCTTGTTTGTTTCATTTTGTTTGTTGCTTTCTGTCCCCCCCCCATATAAGTGAAATCATATGGTTTTTATCCTTTTCTGTCTGACTTGTTTCACTTAGCGTAATACTATGAAGATCTATCCATGTTGTGGCAAATGGTAATAATTTCACCTTTTTTATGTCTGAGTATAATTTCATTGTGTATATATATGTACCACATCTTCTTTATCTAGACATCCATCAGAGGACGCTTAGGTTGTTTACAGGTCTTGGCTATTGCAAATAGTGCTACAATAAACACAGGGGTGCATATACCTTTATAAATAAGTGTTTTCAATGGGGGTGGGTAGATACCCATAAGAGGGATTGCTGGGTCATATAGTAACTCTATTAATTGTTTTAGAAACCTCCATACTATTTTCCATGGTGGCTGCACCAATTAATATTCCTACCAAGAGTGTACAAGGCTTCCCTTTTCTTCACATCCTCACCAACTCCTGTTATTCCTTCTCTTTTTGATAATAGCCCCTCTAATGGGTGTGAGGTGATAGCTCATGGTAGTTCTGATTTGCATTTCCCTAGTAACTAACGATGTTCAGCATCTTTCCATGTACCTGTTGGCCATCTGTATGTCTTTGGAAAATGTCTACTCAGATGTTCTGCCTATTTTTAATCGGATTTTTTGCTATTGAATTGTAAGAGTTCTTCGTATATTTTGAATATTAGCCCCTTATTATGACTTGCAATAATTTTTCCCAGTATTGCCTTTCCATTTGGTTGATAGTTTCCTTTGCTCTTCAGAAGCTTTTTGGTTTGATATAGTTGCACTTGTTTATTTTTGCTTCTGTTGCTTTTACTTTTGATGTTAGAGTTTTAAAAAACCATTGTCAAGACTATGTCAAGAAGCTTACCACCCATGTTTTTCTTCTAGGAGTTTTATGGTTTCAGGCCTTACATTCAAGTCTTTAATCAATTTTGAGTTCATTTTTGTGATCACTGTAAAATAGTGGTCTAGTTTCATCCTTACATGTGGCTGTCCAATTTTCCCAACACCATTTACTGTCTTTTCCCCAATGCATGTTCTTGGCTACTCTTGTACATTAATGACCATATATGCATGGGTTTATTTCTGGGTATGCTACTACTTCTTTGTGGTTTTTTTTGTTTTAAGCATTATCTATTGGCTTTCCCTTTGGTAAATGAGCATATGGTGTCCTTTCAACACAGACCCATCATTCATATGCCTACTTTCTGTACCCCTACCCACATCTTCTCAATATAGTTATGAGAATAATGATTTGTGGGTCCCCATCTGAGACTAACTTTGTATGAATTGAAAGTGAAAGTTAAATCTTAAGGCAATAAAGATTTTGTAAAACCTCCCACCAAAAATATTTTAAAAATTTAAAAGACATGATTCATAATAATTTAATCTAGTGCTTTATAAAATAATTTACTTTCATGAATTTGAATGTTGGTTTCTACATTACTAACTAGTAGATTCAGAGGCAGAGAAATTGAAATGGTTACAAATTGAAATGGTTAGATGCCATTTCAATCAAAAAAGAACAATTCTATTTTCATATATTCAAGCTGAATATAATGTTTTCAGGAATAGACCTATCATGAAAAACAAAATTTGTTTCTCAGATTATATATTTATCTATGTCTCTTCCTTTAACAATCTTCCTCTTTGGCCAAATGGGTGAACTCAAAACTGTTCCTGCATTCTGATTGGTCAGTGGAGAGTGGGGGGGGAGGGGTGTCCCACTTGTGCCACATCATGACCTGGGCAGAAGAAGGTGAATACAGCCATTTTTCTCCTGCAGCCTCTGGATGCGTGGTCTGCAGAGGCCTACTTCTTGGTTGGGACTCAGAACTCTCTCAGCATGTTGAGTTACTTGTCAGAGCTAGTATTTCACAGAGATGCCTGGTCCCTCTCGACACACCTGTCACCTGCCTGGGCAACCCTTAATTCACAGTCCCATAAATGTCCATAAAGGAAGCGGTCTGGGGAAAATGGGCCATTATGGGGACTAATGCATTTTTTACAGCTAGGAGCAGGCCTTGGTGTCGCCACCATCTTTGGTTAAGTTGGTTTAATGCCGAGATTGATGGAGAGCCAACAGGTAAAAGGAGTGGGTGTGGAGGATGGAAGGGTCAGCCTAGTCAGTGTTGATTTCAGGGCCTCTCA